TGTAAAAGAACGCTCAGTGATATGTTCAGTGTCGACCGAAAATAGTTACTATGGCGCTTTCGAAATTGCTTTCGTTCACTTTTTTGACGAACGATATCTTACCATTCTCAAAATATATACGGCCTGTCGAAAAAAGCTTCAGCATGACGCTATGTCATATTTCAGTAAAATTATGATTATCCTGCCAAGAAACTTGAACGTTTGTTCTCAAGTTTTGCTCAATGCTTGTCGAAGGCCAAATGAAAAGCTACATAACTTATTGCCTCGTAACTGTGTCGGGTGCACTTTTTCGCTGATGTGTTATTTTAAGGAGATTCAACGAGTTCGAAGAGCGGTTCCATGAAGAGTCTCACATCATTCCGTTCCCTGCAAAGTAGCAGTGGTGGTAATGGAACAAGCTCTCGTCTTCCAATTCCTGCAAGTTTAAAAACGGAGAGTACAGAGGGAGAGGTGCAGTAGTGTTTTTCTCGCTTGATTCCATTTTAGCGTGAGCCTCAGTATTGAGAGCAACACGATAACCTAGAATAAGTCTTTCTCACCGAAACTGCTGTTAATATGATGGCGCTAGTAGAGTAATGTCAGATGTTAGAATACTGAAAGTTTATGTGTGCTCAAGTCCAAATTATTGCTCAAAAAACTACGAGGTTTTTTGAGGAATAATTTTGACTTGAGCCACATAAAGATGAACTGAAATTATTTTAAGTGACGCTTGACCATTCAAAGCATCATCTACGAGGCATGATCACTTTTCGTTTACAGAATCGGACGCTAATACCAGTCGGAAATATTTCGGATGGATCGGATGCGTACAGCACACGACCAGCTAGCCCCATATCATCAGTGAAACTTGAAAGAAATTTCAAGGTTGGTTCTTTGGAGTATGTCCTTCGCGGAATATTTATGAATCGCCAGCAGCCTTGTAGGAGGATTTCCTTTTGTTTTTTCTTCTTCTAACCGGAGGTGTGGCCGCTGCCACTTTTGTTTACTCAAAGAATTATCCCTCCAAACACTGTCGGTACACATTCTGTTTCATTAGACCCGGAGAACCATAGCATACTTCCCGTATTTTCTTGCAAATGTTGCAAAATGGCTCAAGAATGAATAATGGAATCTGAGTTATTCAGATTCATTTTCAGGATGATATGGCAACATTGAAGAAGTCCAAATTTTCCACACTGCGCTCTGCAAAATTGATCTCACGAGAGCAAGAAGAGTACAACAAGGAAAATAACATGTACGAGCAGATGAATGGTTACAAGCGCCTTCGCCAAATGCATCATAAAGAGATGCAGCAGGTTAGCTTCATAGCTTTGTTGCAAAAACAAGTCGAAGATCAAACAAATAACGCTTGCGTCGGAAGCGCTAGACGTTGGTCAGTCTCTTTTGATGACGATATGCCAGCTAGAGGATTTCGATGCAAACTAAACCAAAAATGGTGATAAGTGTTTCTAGTAGACAGGTAACTTGTCCAGGCCATCCTTGAGGAACCATTTGTTGCAAATGTTCGATGCAAATTGGGATGGAAGAAGAAGGCAAGAAGTGGCAATCTAGCGCTCATGGTTAGGGTATCAAATTCCGTACGTGAGCTCGCTTATCTCGAACAAGCATCTCGTTCTTTCACTAGGTCGTTTGATTAATCAGATTTCGATGGGAGAATAAAATCTGATTTGTTAATGCGCTAGCCTTGTAAATCATTGATCGGCCTGATACGCCTTTAGTACCATGACTTTGACCGGAAGCGAATGCGCAATATCGTATTTTAGCTCAATTGTGGTGTTCGTTCAGATATTATTGTTTTATTTAGCTGGAGGAGCGATGCGCAGCTGAAATCGAGCTTCTTCGTTTGCGTCTCGATAAGGAGCTGGATCAACTTGTTGCCGGATATGCCAAGGTTTATCCCGTTTTTTGCCTTTTCCTTAATCTCACGTTATTTTTCCATTTAAAACTTTTTGATGTTGCTGTTTTGACGGTTTAAATTCAAAAATTCTTCCATGGCCCAATAGCTGGGCCATCGAAGTGTGACCTTTTTGTTGCATACACTCTCAGTGCTCTGTTTGAGGAACGACAACGCTTCAAGAATGCGCATCAGAGCGAAATGGAGAAGAAGCGAAAGGAAATTGAAGAGGGTGAAAAGAAGCTGCGAAAGCAAATTCTGGTGAGTCCTTCTTTTGCTTTATTTTTCATACCTTGACACAGCTTTTGCTGTGTGTGCGTTAATGTGGTTCACAGTCAGTAATTGATTCTTTTCGATCATTTT